CTTGAATAAGGCGTCGTTGCAACTTTCAAGTTTATTTCTTTACCATCCCGCAATATTAACTATAAAGTTACAAATTATAATTTTTAATCATTTTCATTGTCTCCACAGGAAAAAGAAATCGAAGAAAATATAAGCGTAAATAAATACCATATCTACTTCTTCGGATTGATGATAAGCAACCGCTAAATCAGCCATCCTAGTCACTAAACGACCGTTCATCATCAGTACAATGTCACCAACTTTCAAAAGTTTACCAGCTGGACTTGTAAAATCCAGTATATTTAACACGTATAGCATAGTATGTTTTGATTTTGGCGCAGATTCTATTTTTTTTATCCATTCTATAGAAAGCCCATAAGCACGAGCTGTAGCTATTCTTCGTGTCCAAAATTCTACATTTAGCCCACGTAATTGTGGATATTTCCTAATTTTGATCATTTCTATGGTAGGTCGTACTATTGATACGGGAAGACCACAAAAGAATATGTAGTCATTCTCGCTATCATTCTGGGATGAATATTTGAGCCAAAGGGCGTGCACCCTACCATTGGATTCACACAAGACGCCCCCTACAAATAAATCATGTTAATTAAATCTTGCGAAAATTGATGAATTTTCAGAATAGGTGACTTGAAATATACCTTGCGTTCCTATAGCATCATCTACAGTTATTCCTTCGACATTCATGGCTCTCCACCTTGGAGGGTTACATTCTCTTGTATCGACATCACCAATATGATTTACATAAGTTTTCTTCATTACAGGTGATGAATCACCTGCCACGCTTACAAGATACACTTCATCACCTTGATCTAATTCTTTATCACTAAATTCAATTGCACGAACTGGCGTATCGCCCAAGAGCTTTGGATCATATGTGAGGACTGCGTAATTGTATAAGGGATGTAGATAAAGAATTTTTCCTGGTATAATTACGCTATTACCAAAAGTAATAAAAATATCGCCAATGCCTATAGGAATAGTATCACGATCACAAACGACCAACGGTGGATTAATAGAGAAAATTATGCCAACACCATAAAACTAAAATAACATTAAAAATTAAGGAGGATTAAAAATGTATGCAAAAGTTTCAAATTATTACATTATTGTTCGAAGAACATTGCGGGTAGAGTCATAGTGACAGTTTTGTGTGTGTGTCCGCAAATTATGGTTGTCGGACTGATCCGTGTTGGTCCTTCGAACTCTCCATTTACCTAGTAATATAGTAATAATAACATTAGATCTTTACCTGCTTTCTTAGCATTCCATCCACTAGATAAGGTAGGCGGTATTCAAGTAACACGAACGAAGGCCAAACTTTTCCGGCAGGGCCCAATGAGGTATGTAAAGTTTGATATGATGCGGTTATTGGTTCATATGAATGAACGATCGGAGGCGGTGGCATTACGGTATAATTCCATAAGCCGGAGGTATCTAATAAATGAATTAGATACAAGCAACAAATCTTCCAATGAACCTGATCCATGTACACAAATCACAGACAAATAAAAATCAGCCAATACAAATTCGTATCAAAGCGATAGTGTTAACGATCACTTACCATCGCGAACTGCTACTTGGAATTTGTGCCAATGTCGATCTACGTTCATAATTGTAACATATTCTTTATGAATTTTGGAAAGAGAATAAAACCTTATAGGAACTCTTGCACCATCTGAAAGTGTTTTCATTACACTAATGAATTCATCTAAATTGGGAGTCAGTTGATTATTGACGCTGACAATAATGCATTCACGGTAAGCCGATGCTCCACCGAGCATATGACCACTTGCGGCAATAAAAGGACCACCAACGGGTTGAGAATAAGAATGCGCCAGTTGATATGACAATTCATTCACAACACCACCACCAATTTCTACAAATCTATTTGGTGTAATCCCATGAAGATCTTGCACACGAACAGTAACTTCTTCAATCATTTTGTTTCGACATATGGTGAGACGAATCTCTTTACCGATAGAATCATCAATAAGCGAAAACAGACCAAGAAAATCAGTGACAGTTTCTTTATTAGCCGCAATTACTATGTCACCCGGAATTAAAATGTTATCAGCTGGACCTTTCGGTAAAACTACGCGAACAACCAATAAACCAGTTTCATCTGGAAACTCTTCTCTAACTTTTTCTTCAATACTAGAGTCAAGACCTAAATGGCGGAGTTCATCATAAGGCATATGTTCAAATTCGGTCTGAATGGTGCCACGAGGCACACTTTTTCCTTCTTGTAAAAATTGGAGTGCACGTCTCACCCTATCTAAAGGGAGATAAAAACTGGATGCAGCTCTGCTAGCACTACCGGAATTTAGGGCTACGGCATGTCCATCAATATCAAGCACAGGACTTCCCGATGATCCACCACTAGTTCCTGACGCAGCTTGCAAATAAAAAGTATTGAAATCATTATATTCACCAACACCATATTCTGGTGCTCTAAAAGAATAATTGTAAGATTTGTTAAACATCGGTTAACCGATGAATCTTAGTTAAATGTAACATACTCACCTCCTATCAAGCCTAGCCAAGGTGCCTGATAAGATTGACAATTTTTCACCAGCATCATTACCTACGACTCTAATTTCTAATCCTACTTTTGCTTTTTCCGGACTTAGAGGTATTTGAACAAGATCCATAAATTTTACTTTTTTAGGATCAAATTTAAGGAAACCGAAATCATGAATTGGATCGCGGTATATAGGTTTTAATTCTACTTCTTCATAATTAGTAAAAACAGCCTGAGCTACGATAGGGGCTGGTGAAACTACGTGACGGTTTGAGAGGATCAGACCTCTTTCAGCATCAACGATAAAACCTGTAGCTGAATAATCGCCTATTTATATTTCCATTTATTTATCAATATGTCAATATATGTCACACAATAATTTTAATCCCAGACCAAAAATGAATCCGACAATTTATAGTTTCTTTTATTACACGTTATGAAACGTGTTATTTATAATAAATGTTTATATGCCAAATATTTGGAACAACCACGTGTCGTTAAGAATTTGATCGTGAAAAGATAATGATTTAAATGCCTACCTGAAGTCTCAGTATCAAAACTTCTTACGTGGTTGGCTTTGATTGAAACAATTGCTTTAATAGCTTTTTCTAAAGTAGTCTCCCAAGATTGCACTTCAGTAGTAACAAGCGAGTTCTCATCTTCAGTAGCACAGTTTAACTTTGCAGTCTGGTGAGTGCTTGTTGAATGAGAAACTGATTTTGAACGAGTTCTAAACGTTCGTTCAATAAGCACCTCACTGTTCATCTGCGTTGGCGCTAGTTGGTCCCAAGCGTTCGAAGTTGATGTCTTTACTGCTTCAGGTTCACTTTTGAGATTCTCGCTCACCTCCATTTTTTGATGAAAGAATTTAACTTTACAATATAACTTATATAATAAGATATGGTGAAATAACAAACTAATTAAAAAAAGTACATGATCGAAAGTAAGAATTACCAATTATTTTCTGCGTGAATGCTTATAAATATAATGAAAACCTTGTGTCCAATGTTTATGCTTTCCGAAACTTTAATAATGAAAAATTGCCGGCAACAAAATTCTTACTTAGGTTAACGTTATATGTTAGATTTATTTAATTGTAAATCAAGGCTCACGTGATATGCACTCTGGGCTTTTAGGCAGATATATACGAAATAGTACAGATATTGGGTCAACTACGTAGTCAAAATTTTGTAATACAAAGATTCAAAATTAAAATACAATATTAACGTTGCATGCGATGACTATCTTTACATTTATATTATACATTATTATTATTATCATTATTATTATTAGATAAAAGTGGGGATCGTTCTGTTCGTTCTATATTGTTAACGCTAGCGGATTGTGAACGTAAATGATACCAAGCGGTAATTTTATGAACTGTGATTCTCAAGATGCCACCAATGATAAGACCAGAAGATACAGAGGCCGCAATAAGAATTGGTATTGATTTATATTGTCTAATGGCAACACCAATAAGAGACCAAGCAAGAGTACCAGAGAAGAGAACATCTTTGCGCTTATGATAGTCAACAAATGATACACCAACAATTCCAATGGCGGCGACTATAATGGTGGAAAAGAATACAGTATCGATCGCTTTAAATGCGACCCAAAAGTTTAGGATAGTAGCAAACAAGACCCATGCAGGATAGATAGTGAAAGGGTAATGGACAAAGAGACGGTCAAAAATATTTTTAGGAGGATAATATTCAAGATTGATATATGAAAATATCAAAACTAATAACATGCATGCGGCAACAAAGGCGTCTAGAATATAAAATTCTAATCGCTATAAGAATGCAAAATAAAATTTTAAATTAAAAATGTTATTATATTATGAATACGCAGTAAAGTTTTTAAATGTTAAGTAAATACCCATATAAAAAGCCAGATTATATTTCCGAGATTTGCGAGAATAAGATAATATTTTACACCGTCGACGGTGGCACTGTCAGCTGGTTCGGTCCATTGGTAAATAATGAATCCACCAAGTAAAGCATAAATGAGTCCCCAAATTCCAAAAGTATACGTAGCTGGTAAAATATGTGTGTACGGAGCGTCATGACTATGGTTTCCCTTAAAATCACTACCGTCGTCGTCACCTGGTCGTTCTTTGAAAGCTTCAAAGTAGGAATTAACTGTCAAGACCAAGATATAAGTAATGACGTTCGAGACCTTTAAAAAAATTTTGTAGTGTGACATTTGTTATTTCGTAAAAGAGGTTTGCGAAAATTGCGCAATGAATCTTTTAGTTTATAAGTGGGCGTTCTTATGCATTTCATCTGTTTTTTTCGTGTCACACTGGTTATCCATCATAATCAAGATCATTTTCGCATAACGATAATAAGCATGCATAAAGTTAAAATTGTACACTTGAAATAAATGTATGGTTGCACTGCATATATGAATTATTCCTTGGGTGAATCCAGACCAAAACGTTATTACATCATATAACATAATCTGTATTACATAATTACATTTCACTAACGCTATTATATAATAATCACATGACTCAGTAATTTTTCATTCGCGATGTCCAATTTTTTTCGCAAATACCAATCCATTATAGTAGGATCAATATTTGGAGTAGGAATCAGCCTTTACGCATGGCTTCCGACAATGGAGCAATATAAACGGTATAATTAATAAGAAATATAATGCCAATAATTGTAGTTTTCAGATAATTAACGTTATATTGGAAATCCACCAGTGAAGGAATTTTTGAACAACTTATGTTGCAAAAATCATACGACAAAAACAACAATATCACAATGAAAGATACAGCTATAAAAGATACAGATACTGCTAACTCTAAACAAGCAGTTGACATAACAAGCTCTTTATAAAAGGTAAATGTAAAATTTCATAGATTCAAATCTATCCTAATCTTGTTATTCAATATTTGTGTACTAAAATAATAATAATAATTAATTGCTATTAACTACGATACGAAGACATCGATATAATTATTAAAGTAAATTGTACCTCAACATCATCCATAGGATCCTCAGATTGCGCCTTATATAGCTGTACTTTTCGTTCTATTCGTTTGTTTGGATGCAGATTATGTTCCATAATGTACTTATCGCAACCTGAATAATAATTTCGATTAAGAAGTTACATATGACTTGGCTTTATCAATTCATGGAGATGTAAGTATAATTACCAGTCATTGGGCATGGGACAGAATTCATATTACGCCTTATTAACTGCATGATAGCATCTTTTGAAAATGTATGTTTACACACATTACTAAATAAAAATTAAAAGGTTAATATAAGATATTTCTTATTGAAAACGTCGAAAACATGTGTTTATAGGAGATACCTTGTAACTGGTTCTTCCAACAATAAAGTTGTAATCGGACAATATAAAGATTCTTTTTGTTTTCCCATTACAATTTCATCATCGGCTTCTTTATCTAGTGGAGGCATGGTTTCATCAGGATGGTTAACATCCTGTTCATTGTTAAACATTTTTCATGAATTATTTTGATAAAATTTATGTGTATGAACGTTGAACGTTACATAGATATTATTTTAATACCCAAATTTTTTGTCGAAATTCGATATAATTTTCATTTTGAAAATATTTTTCATTCTCGGATTTGGATTCGTACTTTTTTAAAGCATCATCCAATTGTGACTCATAATCCTCCACAAGATCCTATTGAAGAATACTGCTCTTAGCAGAAAATTTGATATAAGATTCACTAAACTCTAAAGTATACTTGCAAATTTATGTCCCGCATCAACCTTAATTTTAAGAGTGTTAAGTGAGGTTCTTTGGAAATTAATTCGATTATCTAGATCAATATAATCCCTCACAATAACATCTAGTTGATTGAGCTAGATATATGTAATAAGCGTGTTTAGATTGAATGAAGCAGATCAGCTGTTGCCGGGTAAAGGCTCATTTACCTCCTCTTGTTCCTCAGCCTCTTCAAGGTCAGTTGCCGCTTCTGTTGCGAAAGTAATCCCTCGTACGGCAAATTGCAACATTTCGTTGAAATCTCTAAATAAACTATCGAACTCTCTTCGTTCACTATACTGAGATGTACCCAGTGATGCTCGAGAACGACTAGACGACATGTTTGAAAATGCTTTGGTAAACGAACGCGTTATTTCATATATACACGCGATATCGATATATAAGAACTTTCATTTTTGAATCTGTGTAACAAAGATTGTTAACAATGGACAAATTAGTTTAAAAAGTAGATTCAATTGTTATTCAACAAAGGTTTACGTATATACATCTTTTCACGTTTAATTTATAATGAGCAAATGAGTCAACGAAATTCAAATGCAAATTCAAGAAGTCGATAGTCTCAACAAAATTTGGATCCTCTCGCTACTCCCCAATAGGGATGTAATCGGCTTGATTAGCTTGGCTTGGCTCATGAAGTTACAGCCAAAGCTTAAGCCATCGTTTTAGCGGCTATAATCTAAGCTATGACTATCAATATGACTTAAATTATGGCCAAGACATAGTTAAGCAAAATAAATTAAGCTATAGTTTAGGCCACGGGTAGGGTTGTTAATTGAGTAGCGTACTCCAGAGCAGCTCTGGAGTGAGTTAAAGATATGGGGGTGAGTCAATAGAAATCAAGCAAATTTTTATAGTAAAAATTTTTTATAACTTTAAACAAGAATAACTTAACAAAAACTTGACCAAATTTAATGAAAAATTTTTTAAATAATTTTTACGAACTTGTAGAATTAATTTGAAAAAGTTTTTGTTAAGTTATTATTGTTTAAATTTTTTAAAAAAACTTACTAAAAAATATTTGCTTGACTTCTATTGACTCAACCCTATATGCTGGAGTGAACTGGAGCAACTTTAAGCAAATCTGGAGCGGCTCCGGAGTGAGCCCAACCCAAGTTGGAGTGGGTTGAGAAAAATCCTCTTAAGCTAATTAAGCTGCTAGCTTAAATTATTAGCTTAGGCTATAGTATAATCCAACTTTAATTTTAATTATATTATATATATATATATGTATAATCATTATATATAATAACTTCTCATTGAATAGGTCATTTCAGGTTGTTAATTAGCTTAGCTTTGTTAGGCTTGGCTTAAATCTATGGTTAAAGTGGCTTTTCGTAAAGCTAATAACATCCCTAGTATTCTGACTTCACCACCTTTCAAGCTTCCACCTAACAGGGAGAACCATACACATCTATTCTTGCAAGTTCTCCATTTTACGATGCTAGAAGTATCGAGTGGTGCTTCTTATACATGCCGTAGAAATTATTTCGGTATAATTCTACCTGAATTTTTGCAACGGCATTGCCTAACTAATGGTCAATACCCAAAATCAAAATTAAATTAATGTCATAAGTGTCGAAGTATAATTGATATATCCCTGGTTGATGTAGTAATAAAAATTTTAAATAATTCGATTCATTTATATAAGTTTGCAAGTTATGTCATCTAAATATACAGCCGGATGACCACCGAAAGAAGTGTGGAATTGGATCCAAAGAAAAGTGCAAAGATCATAGACAGTATTGAAATTTATAAGACGAATCGCAGCAATTAATGACAAAATTTAACACAGTAAGCCTTTTTTTCGTCAGAATTTAGATACAAGCTTATAAACTATAATTTTCGTCTGTTGAAAATTTTGGTCGGAAATTGTCACATGTAAACGGAAATCTCCGGCATTTTACAATAAGATTTGTTTCGGATTGCAGCATAAATTATGACTTGCGGCATAAATTATGGCTTGCGGCTTTATCTCTGCCAAAAAATCGGTGCCTAAATACTTTCGGCACAGCTACAACTAATTTCTACGGCATGTATAGTGCTTCTAGATTGGAAGAAAAAGCGCGACAATGGAGAAATGACGCTTATTTTAAAAATTTGTATGAAACTGCTGTGTTTTGGGGAAGTAAAGTCATGACAATGACAGGTACAATATTTATTAAGGATATTCATTTAGCCTCAGAGAATTCGTTTATATAAAATATTTCTCTTAAGGTGATTTGAACGACGTGCTTTGGTTGGCGCAAGTATATTATGACATGGGTCAATATGTCAGAGCGCAAAGCTTAATATGGAATCTTGTAGATTCGAGCATTGTGTGTCGATATCTAGCCGCCAAATGTTGCGTGAGTATGAATTGATCAGCAAATGTTCCATCGCAATACGTTAGCAATGTATTATCAATTTCGTCTTAATTTTGATAACATTAGCACTCGTTAAATGTTACTTACACTTAATTATATATCATTTTTAGATTAAAATGGAAAAGTACCAAGAAGTATTAGATATTCTTGGTGATGAAAATCCATTCCTTGATAGAGGTTCGTCGACATGTAACGAAAAAAAAAAAAGATACTTACATAAATTAAAACCTATATATAAACGTGTAACTTTGTTTATAGATTATAGTTCTGATAAAAACACAGAAGGGATCAGTGTGAGCCTTCATAAATAATTTTGTGAGTTATATATAATTTTATCATTTCACTAAATATAATTCCCATTGTTCCTGCTTGCATTAGCTTGAAGCATCCATTTGTTATCTACGTGGGGTCGCATACTCTCAACAGTCTGACCTCGATAACGCTAAAAAGTGGTTTAAAAAAGCGTTGGAAATAGATGTTAAATGTTTTGAGGTGTGCTGATGTCTCTTATTTAATTATTTTTAAATCAGTAACTTTAAAAAATGTAATTTATATAGGCATTTAATGAACTAGTCATAAATCACATGATGACAAGTAAGGAAGGTAAACTCAGCGCGTAAACATATGCTTTCCGGTGTATATAAACGTTTATTAACCTGATTAAACTCTTCAATTATATATAGAATGGGATTTCGTTCATTCATTAAAATTTGATGAACAATTAGAATGTGAGGAGGCCCATTTTATCAAAATGAATTACATATCAATGCTGAAAAAGGTTTGCTATCCATCCAAACATTATTAGATCTTTTATTTAGCAAATACAGTATTTTTCACCGTGTTTGTTATATGTTAAATAGTATGAACACGTAACAGAAATTCAAGAAGCAAGATCTGAGTTAGAGGATAAATTTCGACTATCAAACAATGCAGATATATTATTAAGCCATGCAGATGAATTATATACTCAATGTCGATTCAAAGAATGCCTTGAAGTCACGACTAAGTATATATTTAATGGATATTTATTGTAAAAGATTTATTTCTTAATATTTTAATTTAAAAAAAAGATTGCTTGAACTTGATATGAACAACCAAGCGTGTCTTCCTATTCACATTGTATGTCTCCACGAGTTGCGTGAGAAAAACAAATTATTCTTGTTTGCTCACGAACTTGTCGAACATTCTCCGGATAAAGCTATCACGTGGTTTAGCGTTGGTTGCTATAATTTTCTGATTGGCCAGAATGACGAAGCGAGGAGATATTTTACGTGCGTAGAATAAGCAGATATTCTCATTTTATACTAAATAATACAATATTTTAATTCCGTTAAATTGCATCATTCAAAACACCCAAATGATTCACTTATTATTTAGCAAGGCATCTACTATGGATTCTCATTGCGGGCCAGCGTGGGTAGGATTTGGACATACTTTTGCCATAGAATCAGAGCACGATCAAGCAATAACAGCTTATTCTACAGCAGCAAAATTATATCCAGGGTATTGTTTTTATCTGTACTATACTATAAAACCGATCTATTATTAACATTTTGTATAATTATGTAATTAGTTCACATCTTCCGACTCTTTTCATTGGTATGCAACATCTTCAAGCCAAAAACCTTCTGTCTGCTGAAGAATATCTATTGACAAGTTCCCAAATCTGTGAGAGTGATCCATTGGTATTAAACGAGTTGGGTGTGCTTTATTTTCAAAAGTTCAAGTAAGTAACATATTACAGGGATCTTCTTTAGTATAGATTGGCATATAGAATTATTATAAAATTATGATATATAAAACCCACCCATTTTGAGCCAATTTAAACTCTAACCCTCATCCCAACTCTAATTATTTATAAATTTGCTTAATTTAGATCAAAATAATTGATTTTTATACAGTATATTATAATTTTATAATAATTCTACTATATGCCCACCTATAGTAAAGATTAACCGGTTTGAAGCTCTGTTCCTTAAACAATTCATTATCAGGTATTCTGAATCAGTCGAATCCTTTAAGAAGGCACTTACAAGAGCAGAGGAAACAAAATGTCGACCACAAGTATGGGAAACAATATGGATTAATCTTGGCCACGCTTTTAGGCAATTAGGGTAGTTATCTGTATTTTATTATAATTTAAAAACGACCAATTCTTTATTCTTTTAATCATAACCTTATCAATTTTCTCCCTAGCGAGCTGGATATTGCTGAATCATATTTCCAAAAAGTAGTCTCTATGTCACCGCCAAATTCGGATGCATTAACTGCATTAGGATACATTTATCATGTGAAAGAAGAGTTTGAAGAGGCTATCATGTATTATCATGAGGTTTTATATCAATTTTATTCCATCATTTCGTAGTTTGACACATTGACTCACTATTTAAAAATATTGAATCTGTAATCGGTAGGCATTGGGTATATGTCCTTATGATCCGATAACACATGATCTTTTGAGTGCGTGCCTTAAAGAAATGGTCCATTGTTGAGTTGGACTGAAATTGAACCCACTGGACGTCCAGTGTTTCAGTGAAAAGTTCCACTGGAATGTGTATTCTATTAACCAATGAAAATGCATGAATAGTCAATCTATTTTTCTAATAAATTACGTAGGTCCGTTCCAAACCATTTAATTGGTTAAAAAATAGTGCTAACTAAAAATTAAAAGCATCGACATGTCGTCAGTTCAATTTTGCAATTACCCAGCTGTATCAAGATCTTAATAAACCTTTTTTTTATTCTAGTCCATGAGTAAAGAGAATACCTAAGCACTTATTTAATCAAATTTATGAATGTTTCTTAATTTTAGAATGTTGCTAACTTGCCCCCGGTGATGTTAACCACCCTACAATTTACCAATTAGATTGCAGGTTCTTGTTTAACAAAATAAAAAAATTATCAATATTACAAAATTTTATTTGAGAAATATCGATTACCTTCCTGGTAAAAAAGTAGCTACCGTTGTTACTGAGAGACAAACTCCGCAACTTATCAATCCAATTGAAACTATTTTACAACATTCTCCAAGACCTTCTGATGGTTAATTTTCAATAATATAGTTTGTTTATTTCTTGAATTTACTATTTATTGTTTTTAATTTAATTTACATTTTAAATAATTTAAGATTAAATTATGTTGGCTTCTATTAATGACTTGCTACTCAATTTAACTAATGAAGTTGCTAAATTAAATTGAAAAGTTTCAGCTTTAGATAGATGTGTGTCAGAAGGTCTAAACCTTAAAAATGAAGCTAATTTTATTAAAGTAATTATTTTTTTAATAATAATGCTTGTATTTAATTTAAGTTAATTTATTTTACTTTATAAAGTAAATATATTTAGCAATTGCTAAAAAATTAATCATTAAAAATATTTATCTGAAGTCAGATAAATTAAAGGTGGCTGCAGAGGAATATCTTTCAGAATTCGAGAGTGAATTTTATAGAGATATAAAAACTAGAGAGTAGAACACATATTATGAAGATAATCTTGCTAGTCCTATAAATGTTTTAAAATATTGTTACTGATATTACTTGACTTTTCTTTTCTATATTTTCTTTTATTATTTGTTTTTATTATTTTGATATTACAGTCAGGGGATTTACTGAATATGGATATTGGGTTCTAGAATGATCTGCGTGCCAATTCTCAAATTTGATTGGCTCTTGTGCACTTCATTGTCAGCATTCTTCGGGAATTTTTTATACCCTTAATTTATTATTAGAAACTTAAAAGTGAACATATAAATTAGCAGTAAAAGACATCAAGTTTAGATAATCAAAAATAATCAACGATAATCAGTTCTAGTTGGAAAAGTAAATAAGAGTCAAAATTTAAGAATCTGTTTCACTTAAGCTAGAGTGTAGAAGTTTAATCTTGCTAATCTAAGTTTATACTTTAAATATTTTTTTTAGTGTATTGGCTTTCTAGAGACAACTAAGACAACGAGCAGAACTCGAATGTTTTTTTACTAAGTTAATTAAAACATGTAGTGATATGACTTAAAATTTTGTAATACTAATTTTTAAAGATGACATGCTGGTAAGGAATTAAATTAAGCAATACAATGTAGTTAAGTATTCTAATTTTTATATTTTACTTGTCTACGGCAATTTGAATTTATTATACTAATAATAATTTATCTTCATAATTTTAATTTCTTGAATACTTTTAAGATATTATATTTTTATACTGGTAAGTTTTGTATACTAAGATTTAAGTATCTTTATTTGCATGAAAAGAGTACAAATCATGAAAACTTAATACATATTTTTTTTTTTTATATATATTGTTTCAAATTCAATAGAGTATTCCGAAATAGTTAAATATTAGAATAAATTGCTCTGGAGGATTTGTTAGGTCAAAAGCTTATAGTTTTAGAATTATCATATCAGTTATATTTATTGGGCAAAGATCATTCGAATAGTATACTATTTGATAAGTTAATATTATTCATATAATGAATGGCCTAAATTCGATCCTAGAATTCTTAAATATTATACTGAATTAGCCAAGCAATGCACAAGTTCGGATAAATTCTGATATAAAAAACTACTGAATTGTATAAATATTGAAGTTAGATATTAATTAATAAATATTGATGATTAAAGGTTAATTAATAAATAAACTGCATAAATAACCCAAATAATACTTATACAGTATACTCAAAGTTACCATACTTTAAAATAGATTTCGCTATAAAAAATATAAACCCTTTCAAGATTTTAAATTTTAATAATATGATGAAGTTACATTACAAGAATATAAATAGATTTTTAATATCACATATATACAGTGAGGTACCATGGTATTATGGACACTTTTTGAAATTTTATATTGAGCTAAATAAATAAGCTATAAATCTAAAAATTATATAAAATA